GTATCGAGTACAAAAGTATCGATATTGAAAGGAAAAGTACTCGATACCAAAAAATATCGTTACTTTGTGTGTCTCTCCCTATATACGTAAAAAAAACTAAAGTCAAAATCATAGCAGGCGCGAAAAATCTGAGTAACGTGACGAGTTTCTGATAAACATGGTTTTTATACATTAAACTACCATGGATTTAATGGAATCAATCAAGAAAGACAAAGCATATGCTAAATTTAAGTTAATAGTAAAAAATTGGGAAAAAGACTTCAAAACAAAACATTCTCGGACGCCGTCGAAATTCGATATAAAAGAAGCACCATCCAACATAAAATACGCGTACAAAAAGTACTTTCAACTGAAAAGTGCTGCTCTCGAAAATTCTCTTCCAATTTACGATGTCGATGACGAATCATTTGACTCTCCAGAACCAACAGAACAGGACAGTATTGGTTGTACTGCACTCAGTCCCCTATCAGATTCTAGTTCCCATCCTGATCTGCTGCTACCATCATTGCCGTCCGGTCGGGAAATCCAAAAATTACTTTCACAAGCTCCGAGCAAAGACGTACAAGGCAATGAGCCTAAGTTTTTAAGTCCTTTTACAGTAAACTTATCTAAAAAGTTATTTGAAAGTAGAAAATTTTCAATTAGAAACCCTAGAAAGTCATTGTTAACGAAATCACAACCTATGAATGAAGAAAAAGCATGTAGTGTGGAGAAAGAGAACACTGAAAAGGAGTACACTCAACCTGAATTAAAGAAACTAAACTTACCAGATCCCAATGATTTTTTCAACAGTGCATTAAATAAAAGTGTCATTGTTAACAGTAACAATTTATTCTCTGGGACTCATTCTCATTTATCTAACCAACATAAAGCACCTGTCACAAGACATGTTAATGAGGCTTGGCTTCAAAGAGCTACTGGTACAAACTGTGACAAACAACAATCACATAACTCCATACCAAATGCGACTGATACATTAAGAGATCCAATAGAGAAATTTGGTATAGCGAATATCAAGATATCAATATTAGCAACTAATCCAGAAACAAATAAAGATTTTGTGGAAAATAGTGAGTCTGAAACTGAAGACATAGCAATAGACAAATTGAAGCCTGCACTTAAGAAAAGGAAAATTACTTCAAGCAAAGTTGTATCCACACTTCATGAGAGTCAAGATGAGACATTGTACTACGAAGACAAAAACGAAACCTTATTTCCAATGGATATAAACTCTAAAACAAATAAATCAAGCAAAATAGGGAAGGCAAAAATTAGTGTAAGAAATCGGAAGAAAACTGCACCACATAAAGTACAATTTGACAAAGATGAACAGCCTCCAGATATTGCAGAATATTTACCATTTGGGTTAGATGATAAACTGACACCACGTCTTCCTAATCCCGAAGACATTATCTTAAATGTTGTACAATCATCAGGTAAAACTAGTCATATTGATAAATCAAAAAATAAAGAGGTTGAAAAGTTAGAAAAGAAAATTCAAAGTGGAACCTTAAACGACAATTTTGTTAAAATTAATATAGAAAAGAAAGTTTTTGTTCGAGGGAAAAAGAGCATTAACTTTTCAAAGTACAAAAAACAGCAATGGAAGGATAAAAAAGCTCTTCATGCTGGTATAGAATTTCCAGAAGGAGGAAAAATGGCTTGTTTTAAATGTGGAGCACATGGACACATGGCTAGATATTGCACAGCCCATAAAGGCGATACACTGCTACCTTTGCAAAGTAGTGTTGACAGTAACATTCCAACATTGGAAGATATGCATGATATTGTGTCCAAAGAAACGAATACTATGTCACTATCTGAACAATTAAGCATGTCTGCATACATGTCAAGCCCAATACCTGACTCATTTATGAAGCTTTTGACTGAGACACCTTGTCAGAGTACAGAAATTAGACCTATTTACTCAAGTTATCAACAAGAAACTCCAACAGCTTTGTATGAAGCTCTACAAAAATTTGGGCATAGTTTTTTTAGACCTGGACAAGAACAAGCAATTATGAGAATTTTATGTGGTATGTCCAGTTTACTGATTTTATCAACAGGTGGTGGTAAATCCTTATGCTATCAACTTCCTGCCTACATCTACAGTCAGCATTATAATTGTATAACACTGGTAATTTCTCCACTTGTATCACTAATGGAAGACCAAGTTTTAAGTATGCCTGAGTTTTTAAAAGCAGGTTGTTTACATACAAATCAACCTCCAACACAGCGCAAAAAAATAATGCAATGTTTAAAAGATGGAACAATCAAAGTCCTCTTATTATCTCCAGAAGCTTTGATATCCGGAGATGGTTCTCATGGTTTTGTTGGCTTATTTAAGTCATTGCCGCCAATTGCTTTTGCCTGTATTGATGAAGCCCATTGTGTTTCACAGTGGAGCCACAATTTTAGACCAAGCTACCTGATGATTTGTAGAGTGTTGCGAGAAAAACTTAATGTTAAATGTATTCTGGGTTTGACAGCTACAGCAAGTCAAGCAACTATAAAAAGTGTAATCAGTCATATTAATATTCCTGATGGTTTGTCGGGTGTTATTAATAATCCAACATTGCCAGACAATCTTTGTTTATCAGTTTCTTTAGAAAAAGACAAAGACAAAGCATTAATATCACTAATAAATTCGAAACAAATTAGCTCTTTCAATTCTATTATTGTGTATTGCATTAGAAGAGATGAGTGTGAACGAGTTGCAGCTATACTTAGATCATGTCTTCAAGAGCCTGGAAAAATAAATATGGAGAAGCATAACAACAAAAGAAAGAGAATGTCTTATATTGCCGAAGCTTATCATGCTGGTATGTCAGCTGCACAGAGAAAAAAGATTCAAAAACATTTCATGGATGGAACACTAAGGATTATAGTCGCCACAGTGGCTTTTGGTATGGGTATAAATAAAGCTAATATAAGGTGTATAATACATTACAACATGCCAAGTAGCTTTGAATCATATGTTCAAGAAGTAGGCAGAGCTGGACGTGATGGAGAATATGCATATTGTCATGTACTGATGAATAACAGTAATAATGATAGGAATGAACTCCTTAAACATATACATGCAAATACTATAGACAGACCTTCTATAAGAAAATTGTTACAGAAACTGTTCATCCCTTGTCAATGCACTAGTGCTGCAAATTCAAGATGTAAGGGACATGAGGTGGGCATTCCTATAGATAGTACAGTAGAAGAATTGGATTTACCATCAGAAAATATTTCCACAATGTTATGTTATGTGGAACTGCATACTAAGCAATATATAAAAGTTCTTAACAATGCTTACATAATGTGTAAAATTTCTTCATATGGTGGACCACAAAAAATTCTGGAAGCAACAAAGGATAGTCCACCTCTGGCTATGGCATACTTATTGGAGTGTAAGAAAGATCCTGAAGTGACAAAAAGAAACATTTTAGAATTTGATGTTATTCATGTCGCGTCAGCAATTGGTTGGGAGAGTGGTATGACAAAATACCATCTTAAAAATTTAGAATGGATAACAGAATGTGGTTCTTCCAGAAGATCTCAATTGAAGATAGAGTTTAATACCTTAGGTTTTAGAATAAAAGCACCAGGAGATTTATCACCAAGTGAACTAGATTCAATATTAGATGATTTGCATGGTACTGTTCTTTTACAAGAGAAGGCGATGTTGTATCAACTAGAAGAGAGTAATAAAGCTTTCAGTAAACTTGGAAACTATTCATTGGAGTCTAACAATTTGCCAGAAGAGTCCCTAATGGAGAAATCCAATGAATTAAAAAATACAATAAGAAATTATTTCCAAAGAGAAAACCATTTACCTACAGATGTTACAATGGAAGAACGACCTCTAGACGTAGAACGCGTTGCCTCTGATGTTCGTGCCTTAATATCCTCATACAGAGACTGCATGTTTACTGGACGTAGTATTGCACGAATTTTTCAAGGCATATCATCACCAAATTACCCTGCTATTGTATGGGGCAAGTGCAAATTCTGGCGTTCGCACATACATGAAGATTTTTATGGAATAATGAGAATAGCGACACAACAAATAATTCAGTTGAAAATTGTGTAAATATTTCATTTGTATCTATTCAATACTAATAAAATATTCTAGACTGCATTGGTTCTCCTTTAAACTTAATAGGTATCTAAAAGACATCATGCACAGCTTACTCATATAATAAAAGTCGAAAGTAACATAAAATGTTTAATAACCACATAATAAATGTATTTTACTTTAACATTCCAACAGATAATTAAGGACGTCTGTTAGGTGTTATTACCATCTCAAAATTCAATAACGCAATTTTTGTTGCCACTATAACAAAGAATGTTTAATAATAAGAATTATGATAGATGTGCTACATAGCAACAACACATTCCAAATTCTCATATAATAGATTAAAATACTTTGAAATTACCAGCCCCGTAGCAGTGTTGGGCAAAATTTAATTGTTCTGGCAATTAAAGATTGACAATTGATTAATTGTTAATTGCGAAACAGCAATTAACGATTGATCAATTGTTAGTTGCGAGAACCGCAATTAACAATTAATCAATTTTCAATCTTTTCAATGTTTTTGATTAACAATTAACAATTAAAACTGACAATTATGATAAATTTGTAGGGCATATGGGGGTCAGTTAGTCCCGGTTGGGGGCCCGGTTAGGGTGCCGGTTGGGGCCCAGTTGGAGGCCCCGGTTGGGGCCCCCGGTTAGGGCCCCAGTTGGGGGCCCGTTTGGGGGGCCCCTGGTTAGGGGCCGCGTTGGGGTCCCAGTTTGGGGCTCCGGCCCCCAACCGAGCCACCCAACCGCGGCCCCCAAACCAGGTCCCTAAACCAGGGCCCCCAACCGAGCCCCACAAACGGGCCCCCAACCTGCCCCCAACCGGGGCCCCCAAGCGGGGTTCCCAACCGGGGCCCCCAACCGACCGGAATTGATTTTAATTGCAAGTAAAATCAATTCAATTGAAATCAATTGATTTCAATTGAATTGATTTTTTAATCTGATTGAATTATTGATTGAAATTTAATTGATTAACGCCCAACACTGCCCCGTAGCATGGCTACGCATGATAGTCGCGACGCGAGCGATACAATTGAAATAAGCGCGCGCTATTGGCTATCGAAATTAGATCTGATTGAGACAGCCAATACCGTGCGCTTATTTCAATTTTATCGCGCGCGTCGCCATGCGTAGCCTTGCTACGGGGGCTGGTGTACATTTCACATAATTTTATCTACCTAAATGTACTTAATTTTGTTCAACATAGTGACTTTTATTGTTCTACCATTTGTAATAATATATTACTAAAGTATAAAAATTAAAATGATGTGTACAATGAAAAATGTGAAAATTGATAATTATAAATATAATTGTAAAAAAATAGACACGCAATATCTCTGAAAGTATTATGTACAGCCATTGACTTACAATATCAATGTGTACAGCCATTATATTTGATCGTAATTATAATACCTTCGTCAATGGACCTAAAACAAAATCATACCAACATAATACACAATAGAATAGTATATCAACTGAAGTACTAATATTCCAAATACATAATTTTTTTATATCTATCTAAAACTCCTCTGTCACGTTCTTTCTAATCGTCCAGTGCTTTTATTTAATTTGCCTATAGTTCCCTTAGGATCTGGAGACAAAGAACTCCAGTTTGATGAAGTGCAATAATCAAATGTATGTTTACCACATACCACTTTGTCTGTCAGGTCAGTCTTTGAAGAATTTATACAAGAACCTAAAACATTGAAAAATTCAATCGTTAAACTGTCTGTCCATTCTCTTAAATCCTTATGTATTCTCTTGATATTAGAGTATGAAATCTTTTGCAGTAGTAAACTTTCTTCTTTATTAGGTAGAAAATTCATCAATTTGATGTAAGAGTAATTTTTATAAGCATTTTGAGATCCACTGTTGATAATGCTTGCTTCTTGGTGCGATACTTCCTTGCCAGAAAAATATTCTAACGGCGTAATAAAAAAATTAGTTGTAGCAATTAAATTAGATTGTTCAAATAACCCTACTTTCCAGACTCCTGGAAGAAGTGGCGTTTTCAGACTAGGCTTGATGAAGTTGGTTAAATTGGTCTCGTCTACATGAATGCTGACGACATCGGCGATGACACCGGCGGGATCCAGCCACATTACAGTCAGATTTTCAAAATTCTTTTCTATTGGTGGTAAAAACTGATACAATAATACTGGCTCTGACAGTGGACCTAATATATTAGCTAAGTTTCGGAAAATCATCTCTTTCTGGTCATAGTCTGAACTAACTTTAAACATCTTGACATTGTCGACATACTGGTTTTCTAAATTCAAATCTAAATGCTTTTTTGGTTTATACCAAGTTTCTATTAAAACTTCTTCACCTTGAATAAAAGCTTTGTGCAATATCAAATTTCCTTTGTAGATATCAGCAAAATGATAAGAGCTTATTTCAATAATTTCGTCAGGTTTTATGTAGCATTGTTCAGCTAATAAAATTTTTGCATTGTGGCGAATGATACTTCCAGCGTGGGTTAAAAGTGTGTCATCTGATTGAGCTGTTAAATCTTCTGTGTTGTAAATGCTTTGCCAATAAGCATCTAAATTACGGACCAAATGATGATCATTGAATCCTACAAACTGTTCTACTCTTGTAATTATTTCTTGATTGATTATAGGTTCAAACTTTCTAGCAAAGAACAATTGACGTTCCTCAGTGTTTTGAATTCTCTGCCAGTCTTCTGTTCGGAAATCATTCGGTGAACATCCACACCAATCCACAACATGTTTATATTGACACTTACAGCCTAATTTCCTTTTCCAGTTGGTTACATGCAAATTGTTGTCCACATAAGTGTTGCAGAAATGTGAATTCCGTAAAACAGTGTGGAAATAAGATTCAGCAGGCAACAGAGTATGTTTAAATAATATATCTAATCCTGTTAACAATTTGTCTTTATTACTGCTGTCAATAAGATATGATACAAATTCTGATGATAGTGCTATCCAGTCACTTCCTCCATCTATCACTATTCCTCTGGGCAATTTTCTTTCTCCCACTCGCCACATGCGATTTTCACATTCAATGAAAGTTTTATCTAAGCCTTGCTTTTTGATAAATCTTTGAACTTCCCTTCCATGTGATTTCACGAAGTTTAATCCTTTATTTCCTGTTAAGAATTTTTCTAAACTTTCCAAAGACTTAATTGGGAAATCACTTTCACTGAGGTTGATGACGAAATCCCACTGCCAGTCTAACCTGTTGAAGTCCCTCATAGCAGCTAAAAGCATTGTGAGTAGGGACGCTCCACCCCAAATTGTAGAAAATCTGCTTGGGGCTAATTTTATATTTGGGAATTCTTTTTCTAAGACTGATAATTTACGATGTAAATAGTCTTGTCTCTGAAAATGAAAATAAATATATAATATCTCTTAAATTATACATTAACAGCTATCATTTTTATCACAGACAGTCATCTCCTGTTGTTATTAAATATCTGATTATACTCACAGAGTCAATATGAATATAAAAATAGTGCCTTGTTCTATAAAGAGCATTGACCAGTCTATGAACTTGACGTAAGGCCCTTCCATTCAGTGTCAGGAGAAATACAATTCGTACTGAATCTGTTTTGGTGTGAGTAGTAACTGGTGTTCTGGGTTTGAATTCTGCAACATTTCCATATTATTATTAATATTTAACTAATAAGTAATAAGAGTATACATATACTATGTCATACAAAGTTTCTGTGTTAGATACTGTTCAGGACGAAAACGTGTTCGCGCCCATGTGATTTTTAATATTGTAAATTTATTATTGTGATTTATTATTATAATTTGGTATTGTTAATTTAGTTTAAGGTTTAGTAAATAAACGAGAGGGAGAGAGGGGTTTTGCTTGGAGTCTGTAGGGTTCTCCCGTCCCGCTCCTGCATTGGTGCCGTCCCGCTCGCACACTTGAATAGAATGCGAGCGGCACGGCGGGCCAGCGATGATATAAAAAGCGGAGCGTTGGGAGCGGAACGACATTCCAAAATTGACTGCACAAGACTCCGAAGGCGTTCCAAATCTCACCGCGATCCAAGCAAAACCAAGACCAAGAAGCTCAATTTACAACCAGGCGTTTTTTTCTCATAATCCGCCCCCACAGATACGTTAGTATGTAAGTTCTCAGCAACAAAGGCTAAAATAAATAAATAAAATTATTACTTAACTAACCAAGAGATAGAATTTGCTGAAATTAGTGCACATAACTTTTAAGTTTTTAAGACTTCAAAGGCATGTGGATCATAAAATATAGTTGATAAATACACTGACTTTATCATAGTCTGACAAAAAGCTAACTGTACAAACATTTACTAAATAAAACAAAAGTAGCTTTATACTAACTTGCTATACCAGTTTGAAAAATGTTCATAGCGAAGTATCCACCGCAAATCTTGGTAGGGTCACCTGAGCATTTCATGTCACACAAGCCATCAGATAATGACGACAATGGTGGCGCATTTTCTCCACAGAAACATTCAGACCTGAAATTACAAGAAAATAAAATTAGTGAAATCTCTTGATATAGTACTTAATATTATTAAGATTTATGGTTTTACTATAATCTTACTACAGTAATTCTATTATTCTTTTTAAATACATAATACACATACTAGAACTTATAAGATATAACAATTAATAAAATGGTAAGTTGTATTAAAAAAATATTATTGAGTATTAGCAAATATTAAAAGCTTACCCATATTGTACTCCTGCGTATGGGAGTCCAGCTTGAACACAAATGTCTAAACAGGTGGATGGTGTATTTCCCTTTGCATAATTCCCACTAAAGTTAGACAGCAAACGCATCTCCTTTTCATCTTTAAAACAGCCCAAATGTTTGCCATAAACCACTCCTTCAGGCATACAATGATGTGGTAAAGATTCAGGGTAAAAATTACCGTTTTGTATAAGGCAAGTTTTGTTCACAATTTGTTGCTTACAAATTTGAGTCCTGGCACGGTGTATTGCGGATATAGCTTCTCTGTTTTTTACGTCACAAGCTGGCTTAAAATCTAGTTCTTCTAATCTTAGGCTACTCACTGGTTTGTTCTGTTGCTTAGTGTTTGGAGCTATGTCTTCATCATTCATAAATCCGGTATTTAACTTTCTCGCTGACACATCGCCCATTTCTTGCCGCGAATATGAGATGCGACCAAGTTCCGTAAGTAAATTATCATGTTCAGTTGGGAATAAATAAACAGCAATAAGAATTTGTACGAAAAACGCTACGACAATAGTAATCACTAAACATTTCGCATATTTGAAAAATAATCTCCGAGTACTTATAGCCATAGCGTCTTGCAACTAAGATCCGCATAATACATAAGCAAGCATTTAATAAAATAAAAAACCAAAAATTATTTTATCTGGTAAATTTCGTAGTACGACCCATCCTAGTTAAAGTACAATTTGGTTGGATTTATCTGTTTATCACATCCTCTAAGGCTTATCAAGGGAGGAACGAAAATGCGAACGACAGTGACAATCAAAATAAAAAAACGAGAAATATTGAGGAATTCACGGTCCGAATAAAGTATTATGACTTATACCTAGTTTATTATTTTCAATTAAATTTTTTATAGAAACAATGATCATGTACTACCAACATAAAAAACAAGCTATTTTAAATTATTCGTCTCCAGAATTTATTGAACACCTTGCCCATTAGTTTAAACGGTAGGTATGTGCTAAATTTTTCTTAAATTCGGACATAGCATACATAGCTTGATTGGCTCGCGTGATTATATTGGCAGCAGTGCATTTCTGTCAAATTGATCGAATAACATATATATAGATAGCGCCACCGACACCAATCTACTATCTCGCTTATTTCTACGTAAGTATAACGAGAGGACTGACTTCATATTGTTTTTTCCCTGTCTCTCTGAACTTTGGAATTTTGCTAGTCTTATTTTCCTTCTAGATGCAATGATTCGAACTATCAAATTATTACGTTTAACAAACTACAACATGTCTAAACTGCACTCAAGCAGTGTCAGTGCAAGTATTCAGAAACTGAAAGGTAAAGTAGCTATAGTTACCGCCTCTACTGATGGGTGAGTAAATAATAAACAAATAAGTCCTAATAGATAAAGAACAAATATTACTCTCAAATAGTATTTAGCTTTTTTGCCTTATGGTTAGAAGGTAGTTTACCTATAATAGGTACATTACTGTCTGCCTAGCAGATAACATTAGCAACTGTTTTGAATAATTTTATGTGATATTATAATAATAACATAAATGTGATTTTAGTATTGGCTATGCTATAGCTAAAAGGTTGGGCAATGAAGGAGCTAAAGTAGTAATAAGTAGCAGAAAAGAAGATAATGTAAATAAAGCTGTATCAGATTTGCGCAAAGATGGGATAAGTGTAGAGGGCATTGTGTGCCACGTTGGGAATGCTGAGCACAGGAAGAAACTTTTTGATCTTGTAAGTTTTTTTGCTAAATAATCATAAAGTCATAAAATTCAATTTTGGTTTTAATTAAGTTTTAAAATTAAATTTAAAACAGGACGTAAATATTTTAAAACAGTCATGGAAAATTGGAACATGCTCCTTTGAATTTTTTTCGAAACAGCGCTGTCGCCCTTTCTATAAAACACTGATGATAATACCTTTTATATAGTAGGTATAATAAATTGTAGATAACAACTGGTTATCTTCTTGTACAAATATTCCATATAAATGTTGGTTTATAAAATTGTTACTTTTTTACGCACAAACAATGCACCTAATGAATGTTGTTTTTTACAGGCTAATAGTAAGTTTGGTGGTTTAGACATACTTGTATCAAATGCTGCAGTAAACCCAGCAGTTTCACCTATTCTTGAGGTAAGTAACAAACATTTCTAAAAAAATACAAAGTAGGCCCCTTTTCCATTTTACATAATTCTCCATTTAGATAAAAAGGAGTCATAGTCCCAATGCAATCTAAGTTTTTCTTCCCTTGACAAAATGTTTCCACAGACAGAGGACAACGTATGGGACAAGATATTTGAGATCAATGTAAAATGCTCATGGCTTCTGGCCAAGGAAGCTTACCCAGAGCTCATGAAAAGAGGAGGGGGAAGCATTGTGTTTGTGTCATCTATTGCTGCTTACAACCCTATGCAGGTAATATACAGTATTTTTTTTTTAAATGGGACAGTCAGTGTGTGGATAACTGTCTTAGGAACCATTAAACAACGATAGAAACGTAGTTTAATGGTGGCGGTAAATGATGGCCGGATCGAAGTAATTTATTTCTGAAAATAAATTACAACGATCCGGCCAGATTCGAACCGACGTCTTCTAGCATACCGTATCAGACGCTATACTAACTAAGCCATGGAACGAACCAGCAGACCTCACAAATTTTTCTATGTGCTTGTTGTCATATCTTTGTATTTGGTGTTTCAACGACTTTTTAGCCGTAGTGCCATCTATGAGAAATCTGTGAAAGTATTTCGTCACCCAGTTCGATACCGGATGCTCGAGATCGCAAAGCACCGGAAACCCTCCGTTTGAAAAAAGCCTTTAATAAAGCCGCTAGATCCTGCAAACAAGCGATACGGAAAGCTTCAGGGCCAGGTTAGCGTCATACCCATCAGGGAGTAAAGCATATTGGTCGCTCGCTAAATCGCTCGAAGCGAATTTCTGCAGGTCATCGCTTCCGCCTTTAATGAGAGCCAACGGATCGCTGGCTCACACTGCTGAAGAGAAAGCATATTTTTTTGTTTCTCTCTTCGCTTCCAAATCCCGCCTTGACGCTACTTTGCAAACACCACCTACGCTACCTCGCTGTGACTCGGAAATGCCGGAGATCACTATACGTCAAAAAGAGGTGTTGAAAACTTTACACAAATTAGACGTCAACAAAACCAGTGGCCCTGATAGGATTTCAGAGATTATCATGCGGAACTGTGCACCTGAGTTGTCTTAGGTATTGATTCGCCTGCATCGCCTCTCTATGAGTTCTGGACAAGTTCCAAAAACCTACAACTTTGTAAATGTACATTCTGTACCTAAGAAGTCATGCCGACCCATCTAATTATCGACTTATCGGAATCGCCTCTATACCTGTAAGACTATGGAGTGTGTATTGAATAGCCGTCTACACTTGTTTTCGCCGTGGTCGATCTACTGGAGATCTTATCGCGTATGCCACACAATTTATAGGGCGAGGCTGCCGAATTCGCACCGAAAACCGAATTTGAACGAAACAGTTATTCTTTCAGGATATTATGTTGAATGTTTATCGCAAAGACACGATCAGATTAGGTTAGGTTAGTTAGGTTTAAAAGAAAAAACATTTTCCTCTCACAATTACTTTCGAGGTTATGAAATTTCAACCAAACGTTATTTCTGGAAAATGACATTTCGGACTACTGATAGGTAACCCTCCAGAGTAATGGAGCAAGGTCTGTCAATATGTAGCTTGATATCCTGTCGTCTATACTTATCACAACAAAGAACTAGGCAAAAGAAAAATTTGTTTTCCATACAAAAACTGGGCTCTATTTTTAATATTTTTTTAGGAAATTAGATTAGTAAATTTTCGTAATTAAATAATTAATTTGTTTTCCTTTTTTAAATTCAGCCATTAGGTGCATACAGTGTCAGTAAAACAACATTACTGGGATTGACAAAGGCAATATCGAGTGAAGTGGTACATGACAATATCAGAGTCAACTGTGTGGCTCCAGGTGTTGTAGCTACTAAGTTTGCATCTGCTGTAAGTACAAAATAAATTGTCTTTAGTGTTGTGAAGTATCTATTAGTTTGTCAATTTAGTTTTGATGGTTATACTGAGAAGTTTGATTAGAAGCATATATATATTTTTTATTTTTCACCTTTCAACTTCAACTTTAACTTTTGTGTCTATGGCTCCGTCGTTTTGCGCGACGATTTTGCCAATGTCAGGGTTGAAAGACATGTGTAGCGGTGGTGAGATAGTTGAACAAAATCTTGAAAAACTTTGAAAGTAATCTTTTTTATATTATTTGTAATAAGTTCAACATATAGAAACAAAGACATAGTACCTAATGTTTTTGTGATACCTTAATTATTATTGTAACACTTAAATACATCTTATTTCAGATCACAGAATCAGATGCATCAAAAGAAGCAAGTCTGTCAAAAATACCTATGAATCGATTTGGTAAGCCTACAGAAATAGCCAGCACTGTCGCATTTCTCGCATCAGATGATGCTAGTTATATCACAGGCGAAACTATCGTGGTAGCAGGTGGCAGTTTTTCACATCTTTAGGTTTTGTTTCAATAAGCACTATGTATGATGTAATTGATAATAATATTAAACGGCTTTTAAGCTACATAATTTTTTTGTAAATCAAAGAGGGTTTTTCATATGTATATTGTTTATAGTATAGTAGTATAAAGTCATTTCATTTATGAAATTGTTTTTTTTTCTTTATTATCACTTACACCTATCCCACTGATATTTCAACCTTGTAAAAACTATTTATCTACAACAATGTAGCTACATTACTTACAGTGTACTTATTAACCAGTTATATTTCATTTCATTGATCATCATCATCATCATCTGAATCTAACACACTGGTTTTGTTAATTCCTATAGCTCTTAGTAAGTTACTAATAGGTCCTGGTGCCCCCTGTTCCTCTTTCATACTTTGAATCATGTTGGATATAATGTTTTGACTGTCTTCTGAAGTATTGCTTATGTTAGAGAGTAACTTTCTTCTAATTTCTTCATCTATATTATCTTCTGGTGAAACATCATCCATATCATTATTACTGTCATTGTCTGAATCAACCTCGTCTGCACCATTAATTGTATCTAACATGTTCTTCAAAGAATTTACAAATATATCAGAATCAAAATTTATTTCAGTGTCTTCCTCTTCCTCGTAACCTATTTCAATTCCTTCAAAATCTGATGTTTCTTTTAGGAAATTCGACAATTTTGAAGTTATTGTTTCTGAATTCATTACGTCATCTTTTTTGAATGTTGGCTTTTTACCATACCTTGTATTTAGTAAATTATTTAATTCGTCAGGTTGGATATTTAGCCAGTCATCATTGTCTTCTGCAAGCTCTTTCTCTAAACCTTGAGTATTCTTCAAGGACTCCTTCAAGGTAATAAATTCTTCTGTATGCATTATTTGTGCTATAGCATTATTGAGTTGCGAGTTAACAGGACACTCCATGTTCAAATAGAACTCTTTAGCCTTCTCTAACAGTCTAGTATGTTCTTTTGATCCCTCAATGCTGTCTCTGAAATATCCTTTGTCACTCAGACTTTTAATAAACTTAGTGTATTCTTTAGAGGAAATTATATCAACTTTTAATTTACTCATAATTATTTCATAGCCACAAGTAAGTTTCAATCCTAAATTTCTTTTTTTATCATTCAGGTCAACATGTGCATTCTTCAAATTTGTGATTAGCTTTGAATGTGTAAGCATTGCATAAAGACATTTGGTAAATTTTACTTGCACAGTAATACAGTTTTTAAATGTAACATTCTTGCAGACTCTAGCCTCCAGCATGTCATGCTCACAATATGAGCTTACTATTGGTGAAATAAAAGAAGGTTTCAAAGTGAGTAATGTCGCTACATCTAATGGTAACTTAACTAATGCTCTGTGTATATTTTCTGTCATTTTTTCTGGATAATTGCCAATTCTGTTTAAGATAGCTTGTTGAACTTCTAGAGACTTTGTTTCTACTTGATTATTGATTATTATGTTAATTGCATCTATCATGTTGAGTTCTGTGTCAATATCTAGAATATTTGGTGAAATGATGTGAATGTTGTTTTGGTAGATGAAGACCTGAAAAGAAGCACATATATACAGTGAAATTTTAAATATATACATAGAGCGCACTATAAGTTTTCGGAACTGGTCACTTACATAAACAATATTTAAAAAGTAATTACAACATTTGAAAATGGAACTCTTTGGGTGTAGAATACAGTTTGTTTCATCTGATTGTCACTTGTTTTTACATTGTGGCGTCATTTTAGAAATTCGTTGTCTACATCACAAAATTTTCTCGAGTTAAATACATGAGTCAAGAAAATTTTCGTAGTATGATTTATTTACGACGAATTTTTTAAGCGTAATTTAACAGCTCAGCGGAGCTTCGCTCGGCTTCAAACTACTTTTGGGAATGAAGCACCATCCACGACGACTATTTATAGCTGGTTTGGGGAATTCAAACGCAGCCGTGTGAATCTCAGTGACGAATTTCGTGATGGTCGCCCGTCCATTGCTGTGAACAACAAAAACATCCTTGCTGTGCGCCGTATGATCGAAACAGACAGGCATGTGACATACCGTGAGATTCGGGCATATTTAGGCATAGGCATGAGTCAAATACAATCAATACTACACAAACCCCAAATTGGTGTGAAAAACTTGTGATCTCGGTGGATCCTACACAATTTGACTGAGGCATCACTTGGTGCAATGCTATGCTTATCAGATTCAACGAAGGGGCGTCAAATTTGGTGTGAGACATAGTAACAGATGACGAAACATGGATTTATAGTTATAAACCCAAAACAAAGCTGCAATTGAGCATATGGATCTTTCGAGATGAGCCGAAACCAACCAAAGAGGCGCGCGTGCAAAGTGCCTCTAAGCGGACGATTGCTTCTTTTTTTAACAAAACTGGACACATGGCTACTGTTGCTGTGGAGAATCATTGTACACCGTGAATAGTGATTGGTACATGACCATTTGGTTGCTGGAAGTTATTGACAAACTCCGTAAAAATAACCGTAAATCCGCTGTATCATCTTGAACCACGATAATGCCAGTTCTCACACGGCCTGACAGACAAACGAATTTTTGAAGGTGAACTACATTGATCTTATGAGCCATCCCGCGTAGTCCCGACATGGCACCTTGTGACTTTATTTATTCCCAAAAATTAAGAACCATCTATGCGGTCAACGATTTTCATCACTTGAAGAGGCAGTCGACTGAAAAATATGTTTCAGAGATTGTCACAGAGTGGCATAAATTTTTTCAAAATTGATTCATTTCTACGAAAAAGTGCATTAATGCTAACAGAGACAAACAATAAATTGATTACTGACCATTTAGTATGTTTTTCTTATTCATTCTGGAAACTTATAGTGCGCTCCACATATTAGTCTGTTGATTTATGAGCTGTCACATTGCCTGGTAGACGCTTCCAGTGAACACAAGGATGGTAGTTGTGTCCACCAAAGAATAAGTTTAGCAATTCAAAGGGGGAATGTTGCCAGCCTTCTGGGCATGAAATTTTTAACTTATACATTTTAATATTTTATTAGTATTTCTTAACTTTAATAATTATAGTCAGTGTGGCTTCATAATATTGATAACGAGTAAATAAATAATAGGGGTTAAAGTATGAAATTGCCGATTTGTACT